GCTAATTTTACACTCTTTTCAATGGGGCTTGAATTAGTGGACTGAACCCTTAGAGACGGTGATTATGAAGGGAAGGAAGGTCACAGAGGCATCAGAGGCAATTGCCTTGATGCCCCTGGTCTTTGGCTGGATGACCATTGAAATATCTCCATATTGTAGGATAATTTTCTAATACAAGTGCCCTTTGCAATTGAAAAAGTGCCTTGCCTCTTCAAGAACGAAGTTCCCGCCCTGTACAGTGCATACATGTACTGGTCTGTGTATATACCGTGTATACCGAGTACATGTATGCTCATTCATGGACAGTTGGAGTTGAATGTCAAAATCAATTGGACTATCAACCCAAACCCATCAAAATCGCCATGATTTAAACCAAACATCAAAATATCAACACCTGAACATTGCATTATGAGCCCACTCAGCCCAGTAGAATGTTTGTCAGACTTGGATACATTTACATGTACAGTGAACTTGATCATGGAGCTGCGTGTACAGTCACATACATTAGTTTGATTCAGAATGGCAGGGATGATCAGGGTTTTGCCACAACTCATCAGTCACAAAGTAGGAAGAAAAATGAAGGTAAAGCAGTTTTGCCATCATTGCATATTTTACAGCGAAGGAGAATTGAGGAAACGGTTGGACCAGGCACATTAATTCGAGTCTTAAATATATCTGCAGTTTAATTGTTCCTTTGTCATTTTGTGTACATTTTGTAATTGTACTCAATTCCAGGGATCAAGCCAGTGCTGACAAAATGGAACAGGTGGTGACTAGCAGATTTCTTAACTGAAATTAGACATAACAGGTGTATCTGGCTGTCTTCTTCCACCCATAATTTCCAGTATTCTAAATTGTTTGGCTTATTTTATCTGGGATGCTGTTTTTCCTGACTTCCCTCTAATATGTGTTGTCACTGTGTAAATATGGACCTAACACAGGTACATGTACCTGGTTGGAATATTTCAACATTGATTCCTTGCTGGAAATTCCCCGAAGTATTTATAAACATATTTTTGATAAACTTTACATTCCTTGCATTGAGATCTGTCTTTTAGATTTCAAATTGCACACACTTAAGCATAGAACTTATCCGTTATAAATTAATAGATTCCACTGAAGATGAATACTACTGTAAAAGAACAAATACAATGTACCGTAGTAGTTCGCGTCTCCATCTAAAAAAAAAAAAGTCACAGTGAAATTCCCCTGACCTATAAATACTGTTATGTTATCAACAAACTCAACATTTCTATGAGTTTTTTCAAGTTAAGTAAATTTGTAAGTTATCAAATCACAGTCCGTTTTCAAAAGGGACGCTTTGTCTGCATCGTAGTCAACAGTAGCAGACTACAGGTACATGTAGCACCGCCTCCGTGTACAGCCAACTGCTTTTTACACTTTGATAACAAAAAAAACATCAGGCTGAATTCGGTAAACTGTACTTTGACTCCTTCTGAGCAAAAGTCAACATTTGAAAAAGTCAACGCCTATTTGCTACACTTCTGGCTATGCAAATCTCGGCATTCTCCTCTGTTTGCTCGTAACGCAATCCATAGTTCAAGTGGTGTTCAGATCAACACATTCCCAGGTTTGAAATTGGAAAGAGGTAATGGACGTGTGATGGGTACTTACGATACTCCGTACATTAGGTGTGCAGGTTGATGATTTCACAGCTGTGTGTACACATGTACATGTATGTCTTTGTATACGGATGTACATGTACGTTGACAACAGGTGTGATGTGTAATTTCACATGTGGTACATGTACATATGCCCCAGTTACAGCATGCATGCACCAATAACAGCCCATCGTGTATTGTGATCATTTTCTATTCACTTGGATTGATCAGAAGGCTGGCCTTGGTGATTTAAATAATTGTGTGGTTCTAAATGGACTACTCGTACAGGTGTACATGTAGCTGGAGGCCTACCAATTCATGTACAATGTACATGTAGCGTACAGGTAAAGTAATATGGAGTAGTTGATATTCAGTTCCTTCAATTTAGCAATTGCCTCCAGAAGGTTGCAAAAAGGCTACAATGTACGTGTAAATGTAAATGAGTTTTGATTGGTCACCCATTTTTAATTTAGATTTAAGAACCAACTTCATACAGGTAAACACGGACAATATTTGGTCAGCAAAGCAGGTTACCAGCCAAACTTGCCATGCAATACGTGTGTCTGTATTAGTCATAACTGGTCAATTTCATAACGCTGCTCAGTGGAAAATCTTGCTTAGCAATTTTATGTGCTCTTGTCTGCAGCCACAGCCATAAACTTGTGGTTGATTTTAATCCACAGCCAAGTAATTCAGACATGGCCACATGAATGTACCGGTACCCTGACTTTCGGGCTGGTAACCTATGGTATTTTTGTTACAAAACAGGTATTTTTTGCTTAGCAGGTTTCTTTGAAAACACCTCTACTACCCAGATTCTCAGGTGATCTGGCTTCACATCAAGATTTACATATTCCACAGCATTTTTGCCAAGGTTTAAATGCCACTTCATATTCAAGCTTGACCCTAACTAAAACCCCTTATTTTTTTCCTACTCTACTTTGT